AGTCCCAACAGAGAACAGGGTAATGACAATTGCATGTAACCCATTGGAAAGCTAGGATCCTGAGCTGCCTGCTGCTGCACCAGGGAACGGCTTGTGATTATGGACCCAGAGCAGATGCGTCTGGGCAGAGCAAGGCCACAGCACACTACCTGATCCCTTCCCCCAACCCTGCTGTCTGTATGCCCCAGGAAGAGGAGAATCTCTATTTCCCACCCCAACACACACACACACACACACACACACACACACACACGCCTGCTGTCTGTATCCCCCAGCTTCTATGTCTCCTTTTCTCTCTTCCACTCTCCTTTCTATTCCTCCTCCCCTTTTCTTTATCCCTCTTCTTTTACACAGGAACTGCCAGATTGGATCTGACCTGTGACCCATCTAGTCCACGCAGTATCCTGTCTCTGACAGTGGCCAGCACCAGATGCTCCAGAGAAAGTTGCAAGGACCCTGCTGTGGGCAGTCGTGTGACAATCTGTCCCCAGGGAAGTTTCCTCCTAGCCCCCAGTAGTTAGACAGTGGCTTATGCCCTGATGCATGGGGGTTTATATCCCTTCCAAAGCTCTGTTGCTTTTTTCCTATTTACTATTAGAACTCTGGATATTCTTGCTCCGCATTGAAATGTCATCTTTCCTGTCTCCTCTCTTTCCCCATCTTTCTCTTCTCACTCCTTGACTCTCTCTCTCTCTCCATCACTCTATTGGCCAGCCAAGCCCAGTGGTATATGAGCTGCTACCTCCTCTAACTTACATTATCTCTTCTGTGCACACGTTCTTCATATATTTGTCCAGCGAATAGAGAACCACATCCGTGATCTGCTCGACTGATCAGAGAGAAAGGGAACACAATTCTATCATGGCAATGACATGCGTATCACATAGAATGTTGCACACACTGTCCTGGGCTCTATACAGAGGCAAGCGCAGGAACTGAAATTTGACCGCTTTCGGAGGGGCACATTAAACACACACAAATGAAAGGTTCGTGTGACACCCCCCGCTCCAGATTTCTCAGGACACCCTGGCAGGGACGCCCAGCAGCAAGATGGCAGCAGCTCCCCTGGCAGCTGCACTCTCTGAGTCCCTGATGCCCCTGGGGAGGGAGGAAGCAGCAGGGCGGCTGGCTGCCAGCTGAACTCCTCCTCCCCCTCCCCTTACAGTGCTGCTTCTTCCCCGCTGCTGGAGTCCCAGCACTGCTGCCTGCTTTGCAGGCACCCACTGAGGTGAGTCAGGGCTAGAGGCAGAGACAACACCTGGGATTCCAGCAGCAGGGAGGGAGAAGCAGCAGACTGCACCTGCAGGGATCAGGGAAGGAGGAGCTCAGCTGGCAGCCAGCCACCCTGCTGCTTCTTCCCTCCCTGGGCTGTAGAGACACCCCGGGGTTGGGGGGGGGGGGGTATGCTCCTGCTTGCCCCCCCCCCTTGTGCATGCTCCTGTGACACTGCAGCTCTATAGCATCTCAGGAGGTAGTTCCTTAAATCAGTGGAATATCAGGGGGCTTCCCAAGGATTTTCCTAGTCATTCAACCACTGAATTTACAGCTTTGATAAAGTTGGAGCATGACACACGTAGTGCAGGCTTCTGGGCAGGGCCGGCTCCACGGTTTTGGCTGCCCCAAGCAGCCAAAAAAAAAAAAAAAAAGCCGTGATCGCGATCTGCGGCGACAATTCGGCGGAAGGTCCTTCGCTCCGAGCGGGAATGAGGGACTGTCCGCTGAATTGCCGCCGAACAGCTGGACCTGCCGCCCCTCTCCGGAGCGGCCGCCCCAAGCACCTGCTTGCCAGGCTGGTGCCTGGAGCCGGCCCTGCTTCTGGCCTCTCCGTTGTTTTACATCTCATCCCTCCCCTAACAGTCTGAGCTCTATGATGGCTATGAAACTATTGTGTCTCTAAACCGCAGCCCTAAACCATACAGAAAACCTGGTTCTTCCCTCCCATGCATTGGTTTAAAGGAGGTATAACCCCCCTGAAGTCAGTGGAACTACACAGGTGTAGAACTGGTGCAAGTGAGAGGAGAAGCAGGCACAGGGATTTACTCTCTGGGCCTGGGAGAGTGGGGAAGAAAAGAGGGTGAGGCATTTGGCCTTGTGCCCAACCAGCACAGTTCACCTATTGGCAGGGCCGGCTCCAGGCACCAGCGTAGCAAGCAGGTGCCTGGGGCGGCCAATGAAGAGGGGGGCGGCACGACCGGCCGTTCGGCGGCAATTCAGCTGCGGGGCCGTCACTCCCTCTCGGAGTGAAGGACATGCCGCCGAATTGCTGCAGTAGAATGAAGCGGCGGTAGAGCTGCCGTCGCGGCTTTTTTTTTTTTTGCTTTTTGCTGCTTGGGGCGGCAAAAACGCTAGAGCCGGCCCTGCCTATTGGGCCCATGTGCACACTTATTTATAAAACCTGACTCTCACAGAGGTGTTTTAAAGGTCTGCCCCACGGTGTGGGGCATGAGCGAAGTATAGGGCAGAGGGCAAAAGGAAGAATGTGGGGCACAGGAGGTAAGAATGAAGCTGAGGCCTGGGGATGTGCACCATGCTCTCTCTCACCTGATATTTTAATTTTCTTCACAATCTTGTTGGTGGTGTTGTTGATATTAATATTGACAGTGATTGGGTCTCCGTGGTAATAGATCTGCAATCAGAATGGATCTGGTTACACTGCACGCTAACAGGAGTTAAGGAAGTAACCAGATACTATGGTGAAGGGCACCAAAGTAAGGACTTAAATAGATAAGTAGAAGTTGAGGCACCATGGAAAGAGAGGCCTGTAATAGCTAGGATGCAGGGACCCAAGGGAATGCATATGCAATGTGCACCAGGACCTCTCCTCTCCAAGAAGGGGACAGCCCAGATCTGAGGGGATCCTTTGTCTTCTTGGGTCTGTGAAGAGGGTCTGTTTCCAAGCACTAGAAATACAGACATAGAAGAGAAAGTTCCAGCCCGACTAAACTCCTGAGGATTCACACCTGGGTAAAGCATGTCTTAAAAAGTACAGGCTGGGATGAAGTCCCCAGATTTGTTCGCAAATGAATGAGGGATGCTGGAAGGCTGAGAGGCACAATAGGTTAGCAGGCTGGAGTGGGTGCGAGATCCTCTTCTGGAGCCTCAGTTTCACAGCTGAGCATTTCTGCTGTAATCTGTCTCCAGCAGCAAAGGGAAAGACCAGCATGTCCCAGTCTGTGTGGGACAGACCCTACTCGCAAGAGTACAGGGGAGAGACTCAATACAGACCTCCTTATCCAAGGAGGCCTCGAGGTGTAGGGGCTTGTCAGACATCATGAATTGCCTGGTAGTCTCTGACTTTGGTGCTGGGCCCGTATTTACTGGGGCAAACTGGACCTTTCGGATCACCAGTCGCACTGAATTCCTGCAGGGATGAGAAATGGCCAGGCCTGTAAGCACAGAGATATTGGGTCTGTCCCAGGGGGTTCCACCCATAACCTACCCTTCTCCCCCAGCTAGATCTAAAACAATGGAGGAAAATGTCTGTTTGCTTAAACAGATGAACACTTTTATTCCCCTGCCCCAGGGTGCATGGGCAAACCAAAGTCTGCTCTTAAGAAGCATTAGAAATGGAAACAGAGGCTGGCACCCTTAAATCAAAAAGCATGAGGCAGGGATGATGGAGGCTAAAGCCTGTGGCCTCCATTGGAAGTCTAAACCCAGGGCTGCCCTCCTGCAGGGATTTGGCCTGAGGGGAGAAACTTGGTTCTTTTGCTTTAGGGTGATGGGGGAAGAAGGGATGCACTGGAATTACCTCTTGTGAATTTTCTCCTCCAGATTTTCAGCACAAAATCCTTTGACCTCAAAGTCCACACCACAAGCCTGAGGAAAACACAGATGGCTACAAGGTTATTGTGATAGGCCTCGGGATGGAACAGGGCCCCTTATCTTCCACCAGGGATAATAAGTGCTGATAGTTACATTTATTCACCTCCCTTCCTCATCACATCAGTGTGTATCCTCGACCTCTCTGAAGACCCTGTCTCTGCATGAAGCGGCTGTGCTACCTCCCTCTCAGAGCTGCCCCCCAACTGGCTGTACCATTTTGCTTGACACCACAATGGAAACAGCTGTGATTTTTGGAGCCCTAAAGTTGGGGGGAGTTGTTGGAGACAGATTCTTAATTCATCCGTCCACCCTGTGTCTTTCTTTCAGGCCAATGATAGGTATGAAACGCAGAACTCAAGCTCACCTTTCCAAGATCATCCGGTCCTGGCTGGAGAGTGACTGAACAGGGCAAGTTGGTCGCCATCTGCGGGAGAGAGGAAATTTTTACCAAGAACACCAAACCCAACCCAGCGGAACAGCACGATCAGAGCTCGGGTTCCTCCTCACTCACTGTAATGTCTGACTCCAGACCAGTGATCCCTGGCACTGAGGGCTGTCAGGATGGCAAAAGCCCTAGCTGGAGTCCCCTGAGGCTTGGGGTTTATGGTGGGATAGATGTGTCCCTGGCAGGTATTTTGGTAGTAGCTCAGAGTTCTGCAGGTGAGTTTCCTCTTCCATCATGGCTATAGGCTCAGATAAGGAGTGTGCCTGAGGATTAGCACCCTAAGGCATAAATGGAGCAAGGAACTTCACGCACACACGCACGCACACACACACCCACACATACACCTCAAGGTAGCACCTCATTCAGGGCCCCATAGTCTCTTCATAATTTCTTAAGCCACTGTCTATGACATGGGCTTTATGTCTGTCCATAGGAAGCTTCTGTTCAAGTTGATGCTCGTGTTTGTTCTGCCCCAACCCCTTACCCAAGGGACAAAATCCCAAGACTGCTCCCCCAGCAATATGGGAGCACCTTTGAGCTGATGTAGCTGAGAAGGATACTACCACGAGTTAACTCCTTGACTTAGTTGCCACTGATCCTGGATCATTTGTTGGGGAGCATGAGAAGTGACCACTGCTTCACAGCTCCAGAGAGACTGTGCACAGCAAGAGATACTGGAGTGTGTGAATGGAAAGAGCCATGTGTGTTGAGAAGTTCCTACCTCGAAAGTGAAGGGGTAAGCATGCTCGCCCAGCTTCTTCAGCAGCTTTTCCTGCAAAGGAGTGAGGGAAGTTGGCGTCTGTTCTGGCACAGGAGGATAAATCTGAGTGCTCAGGACATAGAGGTCCTTCCTGAAGGTCAAGCCAATGACATCCAGGTCGTCTCGGCCATAGCGGAATGCACAAGTCAGGGTCACATACACTGGGGCCAGGGCAGGACAGATGGAAATTGAAAGAGAGAAAAGACGATGAGCAAAAGGAAGGAATGGAAATAAGGAAAGGGCAGGTGGAGGAGCGGGATTGAGATGAGAGAAGAGACCATGTTAATGACTCTTCAAAATTAAAAGCAGTTTTTTTGTGCAGGCAAAAATCTGACCCAATTATCTAGGGCTGGGTCTCTAAAGCCCAGTGCAAAGATAGGAAGATCCATGAAATCCTTCTTCGAGCCTCTGGTAGCTTCAGAATCAGTCCCCAAGACAGAAGAGAAGAGCAGAAAACAAAGACAGTCTTTCGTCTCTGGCTCAGGAATGGTTGCTTTGAATAGGGAGACTGGTGATCACTAGGCACTTTAACCTAACTACAGTCACAAGGCATATCATAGCCTCAACATTTGCATCTTATTGCTGCAGAGAGTTACCTTTTCTATCCTTCAGATACTCTGGATCAATCAAGACAACACCATCTGCAAATAAGCACAAGAGGTGCAGGTGAGCTCAGCCTTCGTAACAGGTGGGGCTGCAAATGGTGGGAATGTCCTTTTAAAAATGAGCTTTATCCATAAAATTTAGTCAACAAAAGTAGCTCCTTTCTCCATCTACAGAGACATTAGCTCATCCCATAGGGAAATTGCATGTTGAAGAGCTGCTACCACTTCCTAAAATACTTCCAAAACCATTTCCATGTAGAGATCAGTTTTCTCCATATACAGTCCTGCCTGACCCCCTGGGTACATACTCAGGCAAGCTGCTCATGCTGTCATGGGCACATTTCTATTTTCATGAGCAGAGCTAGTACGTGTCTGTCTGCCTGCTCCTACGGGCTAGATTTTCTGTTTCTCCCACCTTTGCCTTATGTTACAGATATTTGCAGGAAACCAGAATTTTTGCTTCTCACAAATCTCGCTTGCTCCTGTTGCTTATTCCCACTGAAAATCACTGACCACTGGAACATATGGAGCTAAGCCATTTTACACCAGCTGAGGATCTGGCCTCATGAAACCTCTGTTTGTAACGTGACAACCAGCTACACAGCAATCAGCTGCAGTGTCACATGCAGAGGATACTGGCTTGCAGAATGGGATGAGGAAGATAACGTCACTCACCTACAGGTTCCACAGAATCTACATGGTCCACGAAATCTCTCTTCCCCAAGTAGATGGATAACTGGAGGCAGCATGAGGGGGGAGAAAAGAAAAAAGAACAGCAAAGAAACAGGTTGTTGTTCTTCATTTGATCAGTGGAAGTTTCAAGTTTGTAGCTGTGGCTGGGATCAGGGAATGGAGATCTCTCAATACTGTGATTATTCAAGTTATCAGAACAGCCATCATTACTTAGGGACTTCATTATATTTAAAAAAAAAAATTCTTCCTGAAAAACTCCATGATAGCACCATGCCAGGTGTATCAGAAATAGAGCAAGAGAGAGATTGAAGGGGGAGGGATTCCCCACAATGCACCCCTGGTGGGTTGGGAATCCCCCGGGTATGGAGTCTCTGACACACATGTTCCTGCAGGTCTCTCTTAGTAGTGCCTGGATAAATCAGATACAATTTAGTTCAACAGGTAAAGTGTCCTGGGATACAAATGTGCATGTGTCTGTGTTCTGCAGCCCCCCAGGCATGCCCAAGCTCAGCGTGTATTTACCTTCCCATTGGGGCTGGTCTTCTTAAAAACCCTGCAGAGGAAACAAACACAAAGGGGTTGGGAAGGTCTGGGAAAAGATTGCAAGTCCCTGCAGGCTGGCCTCTGCCAAAGTGCTGTGTTCAGAGAAAGGGAGGAGAAGGGGAGTCAGTTCACCTGGTAGTTAGGAGGAAGTCGGGGAGCAAGGCTGAGTCTGTAGCCAGAACTCTTGGCTACGGAGAAGTGGGCATGTGAATTCAGGATCTTTGGGGATTCAGTCCCATGCATGGTCAGACCCCAAACTGAGCCCCTGCCTGTTTCTGCCTGGTGAAGACTCAAATGGCTGGGGAGAAGGGAGATATTATATGCCCTGAGCTCTCTGTGCTGTGGATTTCTCCGCCCACTATCATGAGGAGAATATTCCTGGTGGGGAGAGGTGGAGGACATACTGTTGCCACAGACCATATTTTAGAGGCTGGGGAGGAAAGCAGGGAACTGCAATGTGAGAGTGTTAGCTAGTGAACAGCTCCTGGGGTTAGGGAGGCTGTGTGTATATATCCCTTCACTGTAGAATATGGTCAGCCAGCCAGGCACTGCTCCTGCTCCTGTCTCAGGTTCCTCAGGTAGGGCTGCTGCATTCCCCCAATTCTCTCTAGCTGCTGGCACTGGGGAGTGGATTTCTCCACAGGACGGGGAGCTACTGTTGCCAAACACTCAGGCCTGGTTTGCACTTAAAACATAGGTCAACATGTGCTCAGGGATGGGGAAAATCCACCCAGGTGAGCTATGCCGATCTAACCCGCAGTGTAAATGCAGCTGCAGAGGTGGTTTTCCTACAATGGCAGAAAAACCCTACTGTTGCTGTAGGATGCGTCTACACTACAGGTTATGCCAGTCTATCTATGGCACCATAACTCTGCTGCTGTAGTCCCCGTAGTGTAGACCTGGCCTTAGTAACTCTAAACTCTGATGCTTTAGGGAAGCTTATGCTGTGGGGCAAGTTCCCATCCCACTTAGACATTATTTGCAGTCAGGGTAAAAGGTTACATGGGCTTCCAATGCTCCTGTTTCCTGGCATGGACTGATCACCTAGTGGTGAGGAGAGAATCCCCCATGTACATAGATGTGGCTGCATACGCATACAGACACCGCTCTCATCAAAAGAGACTGGACTTGGGACCTTCAGCAACAAACTTAAACTGCTTGATCTATGAGATGGATGCAGGCTGTATAGTCACTGGGCCCAGCCACTACACATGAACACTGCAGCACATATGACCTACCACAAGGGCCGGGTTTTTGTGATGGTGGGGTTCCTCCTCCTTTAAAGTATCAAGAACTGGCCACTACTTGGGCCAGGACACTGGACTTAATGGACCACTGGACTGGATTGATTTTGGCAGGAGCTGGGACACTTGACTGGGTTGGAAGTTCCTCTGGTCCTATGTCCATCTGGCTCCTGGCCCAGACTCTGGAGGATTAAAGTCGCCTTGGACATCCTTGCCAGCTGGAGGCTGATGCTAAGGAGCTGATAGTGACTTCAATGTCAATTCCAATTACCATAATCCCACGTTCCCTTTGCATCGAGTCTAACATTAAGCACCCAGCTTCCCTCAGACGCAGGCTGTGCTCTGGGCTGGATACAGAGTGGGAGAGCTTGCATAATGCCAGCAGATGGCATTGCATATGCATGACAGAGAGACGGATGGGCCACCAAAGCCAGGCAAAGTCCCTGTCACCCACTGCTAAACACACATGCATGAGACTCCTGCCCATCCCTGGAGGATGGCATGTCCCAGTCCCACATGGAGAGAGAGCAAAGGGCGACATGGGCTGGTTGCAGGACTGTCCCTGGAGGGGGCTGAGGCCTTCAAAACAATGGGCATTTACCCCATTCCATCCGATCTCTGTAGGGCATGGGCTGCCTCCACTAGGGCTGGGGCGAGCTAACCCAGTGTGTTTGGGGTCCCCTCTTTCCTGTGAAGGGTGCTGCATTTTGGCACTCTGCAGTGCCCCAATCCAATACATAGTGGGAGAAGGAAGAGGAAGACATACTTGGAGCTGTCTGACATTTTCAATCAGTCGTTGCACAGCAGGGGTTCTGCAAAAGGAAGCAAAAGAAAACAGTCAGCAGCAGAGGCTTCAGAGAGCCCTTTAAAGTTTGGAGGGAGCATAGATTTGCGTTCCTCCCACCTGACCCTCCTCTTCCCCTCTCAGGCGCCCCCCTCCCACCAGCAGCCTGACTCCCCTGGCCCATGAGCCTCTACACCATAGTTCTCAAACTTTTTTTACTGGTGACCCCTTTCACATAACAAGCCTCTGAGTGCGACCCCGCTTATAAATTAAAAACACTTTTTTATATATTTAACACCATTATAAATGCTGGAGGCAAAGCGGGGTTTGGGCTGGAGGCTGACAGCTTGCGACCCCCGACCTCCCAGTTTGAGAACCCCTGCCCTACACCCACCCCCTCCAAATCTGAGTGAGTGGCGTTGCGCATTGCGACCTGGCACATGGGGTCACAGTGCCACTCAGGTTTGGCCCAGCCAAAAAGTGGCCAGGCCATGGCCTGGGCGGCCCCCTGGTTCCACAGCCTAGGGTCAGCAGGGTGAGATATCTAGGAGCCCTAGTTCTCACAATGACAGGTCCAACGTTTGATGGGACACTATGATATTAGGATAGGCCAGGGCCTTCTTTCAGCCTGGGGTGTCAGGCTATGGTCTCACTGGTTCTTTCATACGTCTCAGGACAGCAGAGGAGCAGGCTATGAGGGGGGTTAGGGCATTCTGTTTCCCAGCCCAGGTTTGCTCCTGATTCCCTAAGGACTTGGTGGACGTGGCTAGGTGCATGCACCATTGATGCAAGTTTAACTGTGGTTCGAGGATACCCCCATAACCCAGATGGGAACAGACCTAGCATCCAACTCTTCCTCTTACACTGAAAGGCAGCAAAGAAAATGAGGGTCAGAAAAGGTGAGAGTGATGCGTAGGGCAGGACAGATGTTAGAAGGTGACAGAAGAACCACTTTGGACCATCCAGATGGCGAGTGACTGTTGAGTGAGCGTCTGCGGGGCTGGGAAAGAGGGATGAATGAATGAAGATACTAGAGGAGCTAGTATTTTACGCAAGTCCTTATCTGCAAGAAATTTGCTGTAGTGACTTATTAGGAGGAAGTTGCTGGTTGCTATATTGCCAGCCCTCTATAAAGGTAGCTAGGAAACCAAGCTTAGCGCAGTCAAGACCAATGCATATTCAAGCCACTAATTACATACAACCTCCCAAGAAGGGGTCTTTGAACAAGGACAAAGAGCTGGCTTTCCCCATAAGAGAAGTCTCTTCCTTAGGTCCTATCCTCTTCTGACAAGATACAAGTAACTCCCATTGGAGTCAATGGGAGCTGTGGGGGCTCAGCACTTCTGAAAATTAGATCCTGCATGTCTTAAACTGGGTGCCCAAAAGCTGAAGCAGCCAGAAATAGGGCTACTTCTGAAATTGTTGTCCTTACATTCTGCACCGCAGTTTCCTCAGCAGCTTGTTCCTTGTAAAATGAGGATAATAAGCTGATCGCACTTTGTAAAGTGCTTTGAGATCGGTGGATGGAAAGTGCTAGTTAAGTGCTAAGTATTGTTAATTATTATTACTCTGAGAAGGCACAAAAATAGGGCAGGTAAGATCCATCTCATACTGCTGCTATAGGAAATTATTTCTCCTATCTCTACCCCCACATCAGTTTAATGGGAAAGCACAATTGCCACTATCATTGCTCATTAGTCCTTAGCACTATACACATACCCAGGAAGACACAGTCCCTGCCTCAAAAAGCTCACAGTCTACACAGTGGGCTTTCCTATAATTCAGCCTGTCGGAAATGAAAATACCATTCTGCTTTGAACATTTCCATATTTAACCACTTCTGCCTCTAGATCTGTCTCTCACCATTCATGCATCCATCATCTTTCTCTTCACTCTTTACATAGCTACTATGGGGACTGCTTTTGCTTTTACTGAAATCCATAAAAACTTCCATGGTTTTAGTGGTGCAGGGCCAGGGTCCCAAAGTCCATTCCAGGGGAGTGCGAAACCTATGTCAATTCCCGGGACCATAGATATCCAGTTCCGGTTCCTTCCCTCTGCCCCAGTGAATGGTCTGAGAGCATAGACTGCCTTAGTGATCATTAATCATCAGAGACAATTTCAGGTAAACCCTGCACTGTAGTGTTGTGCCAACATGGAGTGGATTCTGGCTTTGCCCTGCACTCAGGGGCATGCTCAAGATCTTTTCATCATCTGAATGAGTTTTACTTGATCAGTCTTTGCAGCCAGAATTATACTTGTAAATATCTCAGTTGTAATCAGCTGATTTGCGGGGAGCTTAGCAGGGATGAGCTCAGTATCTTAAACTTGGATAGCCCTGCTTAAGCCAGGTGGGCTAGGAACCCAGGCAGAACTGCTAAGTTGGGCAGAATGTGGGCAGAGCCTTTTTTAGTGTAATTGAAATGAAACCCAGGAGAAAAAAGAAATCAGAACTCTGGGGGAAAGAGGGATGAGCCCCCTTCTGCCCCATTGGGAGACAGGTAATTAATTTGAACAGCAGACTGTGCCTTTAATGCCCTGTGGAAAAGCTCTGGGATTCTGAAACCCTGGGCACCTGCCCTAGCTAGACCTCAGGAGCAGTGGCAGGCAGATTATCCTGAGTCCAGAGAAAGAGGGAGCAGAGGAGGATATTATGGGCCTCAGACATTCCCCAGATGGAGACAAGGTCGGGCTGTGGCAGGATGTTGGTGGTGGGATGTGATGGGAATTAAAGAAGAAAGTGGAAGGAGGAAGCCATAGAAGAAAGGAGCTGAGTCCCCTCCTATTTCTCCTAAGGCCTCAGTGAGGAAGGGTGCACTAGGGATTTGGAGACATATTATGGCTTGGTTAGGATGGGGCATCTCCTACTCTGATATATTAACACTTCTGTTCTCTGGTTTCCAGCTCAACCACATGCAGGCTCCTGGGTTCCCTGCTTGGGGTCGGCAAAGTTCTTTAGCGTCTCAGCAGGCAGGCAGCCCTCTTTTAGCCCCCTGCGGGCCAGAAGGCGCTACCCACCTACCTAGCCGCTATTGATTATTAACATTACTGGTCCGCAGCACTTTACAAGACCCAGAAGGGTCCCTATCCCAGTGAGCTCATAACGTAACCACACAGGGTAAGCGACCTTCCCCCAGAGTACTGGATGGGAGGGACAGAATCAGCCCCTCCCTCTCCCAGCCTGAGAAAAAGGGAGGTAGAGAGGTCTTACCTGTGAGATGAGTGAACAGAGCCCAGCTCCTCTTCCAGCCCCTTCTTCTGTAGCCAAGTTACTAGGAGGCTTCTGCTCTCTGCTCCTAGGCTTCTTATAGCTCCTTGTTAGTCCCTCCCCTGGAGGCTGCTCTTGCCAGAGGGGCTTTGACTGGAGATGTGATTTGTGTGTGTGTGCGTATTGTAGGGGGAGTATTTTGAGGCTAGAATCCTATTACTTTATTAGTTGGGGGACTTTTAGTAAGTAAGAGTGGGCTATAAATAATGCTTCTGCTGGAGCCCTGAGAAGGCAGATTAGAGAGATAGGTAGAGCAGGCTTAAACTCTGATGATGGTACTGTAATTAGGATGGATGCTTTGCTCTTGCACATTTGAAGTTTGCACAATGCTGGGAGCCTGTTTCCACAATCACTGCACTGCTGCAAAATCACACCAGGTCATTAGGAGACTTGGTTTGAGAAGCTAGCAGGGAGAGGTGTGGCGAGGAGCCCTGGGAAGCCCGGGGAGAGAGCTGACATTAGAATGGGGAAGCTTTGTGGTCCTTGTTTCTTCCTGGCATTCTTCAATCATAGAATCATGAAATGTAGGACCTTGAGAAGTCATGAAGTCCAGCCCCCCACACTGTGCTAGGACCAAGGAAAACTAGACCATCACTGATTGGTGTTTGTCCAACCTGTTCTTAAAAACCTCTAATGATGGAGATTCCACAACCTCCCTTGGAAGCCTATTTCAAAACTTAATGGTCCTTATTGTTAGAAAAAATGTCCTAATATCTAACCTAAATTGCTGTAGATTAAGCCCATTACTTCTTGTCCTACCTTCAATAGTCATGAATAACAAGTGACCAGGTCCTCTTTATACCAGCCCTTAACATATCAGAATACTTTTATCAGGTCCCTTCTCAGTCGTCCTTTCTCAAGGTTAAGCATGCCCAGTTTTTTAACCTTTCCTCAGAGGTGAGGTTTTTAAGCCTTTTATCATTTTTGCTGCTCTCCTGTGAACTCTCTCCAGTTTGGCCACATCTTTCCTAAATTGTGGTGGTCAGAATTGGACACAGTTCTCCAACAGAGGCCTCACCAATGCCAAGAAGAGTGGGACAATTACCTCCTATGTCTTCCATATGACAGTCCTGGTCATATGTAACCCATGTGCCTAATAGGGAGATATCTCTTTAAGAGACCAATTCGGGGGAGGTAGGAGTGAGTTGTGTCTGGGTCATTGTTCCTATTGGGATCCAGGAAGCCCGCCCACTGCTAAAGGACCTCCCCCCAGCCTAGGGGTAGGATCCACAGGTCCGGGATTCCAAGTAATTGTAGGGGACAACTAAAGATATAACAGGAACAGGAGTGAGGTCACAGGGCTAAAGGAAGGGAACCAGACGGGAACACCGAACAGAGAACTCCGGGCAATGCCCACTGCTCCTCGAAGGTGTCAAGGGAGCCAGCGGATGCCGCCCAGAGGAGCTCTGCCCGAATGTGTGAACAGACTGAGGAACGGAAATAGGCCCCACAGTTGCAGGAAACCCCGTTGGCCAACCTCTTCTCCCTGGTTTTGTAGTTGGCCATTTTGGCCAGGGCTAGGAGGAGGTTGGCAAGGAGGACCTGTGAATTTGTGGGGCCATGGATAGGAAGTGCATTGATGAGAAGGTGAGGGGAAAAGTGCAACCAAAAACGTAATAATATATCTAGGAGGAGCTGGAATAGGGGCTGCAACCTGGCGCACTCCAGATATACGCATGTCAGGGTCTCCCTCATGCCACAAAGGGCCAGGTGTCTGGGAGGGGAGTGAAC